AGCATCATCGCGTTATTTATATATGAACAATAACGACAGACACTCAATATAGAAAGCTATGTACAATTAGACATCATTCCATCCCCTACCTTTACAATTACTCGATTCCCATGAGTACCATATACTGTGTTGGGAACTTATTTTTATATTTTTTTACACGGACTAATCCAGGGGAAAACTATGAACGGGAAATCAAATCAAATAAAATCATACAATCAGCTGACCAGTTAAGCATCGAGAAATTCTAGAATAGAATAGAGGATTTTATTACAAACTATCACATCGAAACAGTTTAACAATAAGTGCCTAATGCAAATTCACTTATTAAACTGGAGGTTTGTCTGAAGTAGGCCGAGGTGCCCCATTAGATCCATTTTTATTACTCAAAGGGACCGTAACTTTAGGATCCACATTAGGTATATCAATTAACTTTTTTGACGTGTTTTCTGAATCACTTCCTTCTTCTTCCATTGACCCACTAGTTGGTCCCTAAGAGGATAACATCAGTTAGGAACTTAAATTCAGAGCTAACACAGCTCAGCAACATAACGCATAAGATTATAGGCCCAGGAAGACAAAGTGTAAACCGTATCCCCTGAAATCGCGCGAGGAAACTAAATAAGTTGGGCCGTGAACGCACACAACTAAGCGTTCACAGCGCGACACATTTAATTTCACGCGTAATGTTCGGAGGTACTGGATACACCCTGACATCCTGAACTTATAATCTTGTAAACATCGCAAGCTCGATGTACCTGTGGCATCATGGGGGCATCTAAACTGTCGATCTTCTTGGTGAGGGCTTCAACTTCGCCTTCCTTCTGGAGCATTTCAACTAGTGAAGCTATTTGTGTTGCAGACATCTTCATATCTCCATGCCGTTCCAATAGCGCTATCACCTATCAAATAAAGATATCACATATATCCACACACATATACTATCCATGTACCCCATGAGGCAGCTTCCAGAATTCGCCTTCACGCACATCGACGCACTGCAACACGCTGTAGCGCGTCAACGCGCTACAACTGCAACGCTCTAGCCCTAAGGGGCGCAAACGTAGCCACAGATGGGAATCGATCGGCGCCGGCTGCTTGTGTTTTGAGAGAGTATGGTGGAACAGGAGAGCACGCACTGCCTAGTCACGCAGTCTGGTATCGATCGACACTGGCTGCTACGGCTTAGGGACAGTATAGAAGAATGGGGAGAATGGAGATTTGTGAAGGTTGGGATTGCCCTTCTGTTATCCCACACAGCGGCTCAAAATACAAGCGGCTTGCAGCGATCTATTTCTGACAGCGGCTGCGTTCGCGTCTACAGGAATGGAGCGTTGTTGCAACCGTAGCGCGTCGACGCGCGTCACCGCGAACTATGAACGCTGGGTTCGATTCGTCGGAAATCGTGAATATGTAGTTTTTTCGCGCCCAAACTGTTCCAAAAAAATTCAAAACTGGACCAACGGCAGTAAGTACGAAGAGCTACTCGATTTATGAGCTACTCCTCCACATTCGCTTGGCATGAATAAGACGTAAGCTGCGGGAGCATACTCCAAAACTAGCCTGTAGCTCCAGCGCTTGCGTGCGAGCGCCAGGGGGGTTTCCACTAAGTAGGTGTAATCTTCGTACTCAAACCACTCCAACTTCAAAGTTCCACCTAAAAGACAGCGCTCGCGACCAACTAAGGTGCAAAAACCCTCTACTGAACAAAATTGGGGAGTCCGCAATCACAGAGGTTGTTCCACTCCTGCGACTCGAAAGCGCTGACATACGGAGGGGAGCTCAGCTACGAAAAGCTAGCTCGGCCTTAACGAGCTAGTTCCTTCTCGGTCAATTGTGTTGTTATCAATTCTCGTTGGAAGTGATAAGATCTTCGAGGTAGAATACCTAACCAAACATGCTTCAGAGAATAAAAGCAGCGATCTGGCGGCTAGATCCCGAGAGTTCGCCCAAAGTTCGCTAAACTCGTCTATTTTAATCCCGTACATGGACCTCGTGGGGCGCTACCGAAGGTTTCTTTTCTTTTTACCCCATTGTCGTTCCTTTTACCATATGGTCTGATGGTTCTGAGCTCTACAAACTGCAAAAGCCGATCGCGGGTTCATATTTTCTGATGACCTGGTCTTAGTGTCTAACAGTGAGCAAAATGATGACAAAGTCATAATACGACAAGCTGATGACACCCTACCAAAAAATTTTTTAGGAAAAGCCTGTATACGAGATCTCTGATCAATGAATACAAAGAACTTCTGACTGGTGGAGTTGGAAAACAAAACTTGGATCGACCTGGAAAGAAAGAGACGGAAGTTTCGCGAAGCAGCATAACCTTCTGTCCTGCTTATCACCACGAATTTTCGGAGAGTGCGATAACATTTAAAACATTCCCATTCGTCGCTGTTGCCAGTTAGGGTAGTCCAGTGCTTCTAGCTCAGAGAACATGAAACTTCCGTTCATTGTTTTGAGAACTCGTGAAAAAAGCCTGACTATCGGGGATGCTGCCATCCCCGCTATTTGTTTGATGTTCCGAGGATTCTTTTCCATGACCGCTCTGATCCAGTGGTCATCACCAAATCCTATGGCGTGCCCGGCCAGTCTTGTCTTCGATTCATCGGCAGACAGACATGACAGCGCCTGGCCGCCGACCACGAGGGACTTGAAAACGCTCTTTGTACAGCGGTGGTCATGCAAACGACTGGGCGTTCGTTGGAAGCGCAGCCAGGGGCGCCGTGTTCAAAAAAATTATCATCCTGAAACCGCTACAATTGGGTGGAAAATCTGCTTCTCGTTGCGCTTCCAGTGCCATGCCCGCTGTCCTGTGCCCCTTATCGTTATTCGCGTGGCGAAATCCCTAGAATTGTCCCCTCTACGAACGCAGTGGTATAACGCTGCGTACATATTAATCTTGCCTGCGGAGAGTCCAGGTCTCTGATGCGCACGTTAGGACGGGAAAGAAAAAAATAGAGAGCGGGAACAGAACCAGGTGCTCGTCGTCGTCTCGAGACGGTCTTCAATGAGCTATTAGGTTGCCGTCGGTTTATTCGAATAAAACAAAGGAGAGAATAGACAAAAAGTAATATTTTGGCTTCAAGTTAAGTAAATCCCTCCTTCACCAATGACCCGCTCCCAGTGCCCCAAAAGCCTTTGGACCTCTGGTACCTTCGATTTTTCAACAAGTGCGAGTAAATTGCTGTTGATGCCAATTTCGGCGAATGACAAAACATTGTAGCGTTTGCCGCCGTCGGAGAGTACCCTCTACTGAACAGTTGGCGAACTCTAACGGCTTTATGTTGTTGCGAATGCGGGCGATAAGAACCCGGTCTCGAGATTGTTTGTGTCCCAGCACTGCCCTACAACATAGCTACTCGGTCTGGCACCATGACGAGCAACAGTGGCCTTCCTGCAGCTGTGTGGTATCATCCATTTGTCGATCTGATTGCCGAGGAACAGGCTATACACCGACAGCGCCGATTTTATTCTCTGTATAGAGCCACCTGAAAGCCACAGTGTGTGAATGCTTCCCTATGATGATCATCCACTTGCGCCCACTTAATCCCCCATGGTAGAACTCGGACGGCTTCTCATCTGCATTCACACAAAATTAACGATTGTGAGTTTTGGCTCGGGGTCCAAGACCACCCATATTTCATCTAGGGCCGGGGGCGTTTTCACAGTCGTGAATGACATCTCATGCTAAAGAACATTACTGCTAGAGGCATAGAATCGGTACTGCGTTCGTGCTTCTACAAGAAAATTAGGTACCCATGCGCACACCCTCTTGACCATCCTCAGTTTATCGGACATAACTCGGGCAGCAGTTGCAGCTGGGATGTCAGACTCACGGGAAAGCTCAACAAAGGTCCAGCCTCGTGTCCAGGCTCTGGGATCAGACAATCACGCGCTTGACTTCATCCACCCTTTATTTCTTGATATACGAGTATGAACACTTCGATGTTGAACTACGACACAAGACAACCACAAATTTATACCAATTGCTTCCATTAGTGTGGCCGTGAATCCCCCTTCTGAAACAACACCATGTAACCTCTTAGATAATCTTCAGCCCAGTGACGATAAAAACATTACACCAACAACTATGCGTGCCTTCCCAGCCCGGTCGAATTTAAGCAGCGCACTTCCCTCTTATGACGTCTGATTTGAAAATTCGGCGCTGATTTTCAGCACTCGGGCTTCTTTTCAATATCTCGAGAACTTCCTCTGTTTGCCAAATTTCACCGATACACAGCTAAAGGTACTAGCCTCCAAATGTATAGTAGCCCGCTTCCCTATCCCCTTTGCTTCTCTGCCATTCCTCTCTATGTCACGGCAATGGGATGACCTAATAGGTCGTTCGTCATAGTGGCTGGGTAGCTCATGAATCGACTCCATTCCAGAGAAGGTGAATTCACCGAACCGTGTGCCACCAATGTTGTTGTCAGCCTCAGGTTTGTAGGTGAACAAGCGGTACTGGTTGTTCAAATTGATTGCAACTTTGCGTAGTAGTATTTCAGACTAACATGCACTTTTAGCTACAGGCTATAAGCCACAGCCCAAACTGCGTTTTTATTATCCCGGTAAAAGAACCCCATAAGAGCTATGCAGCGCGAATGCCACTAAATGTTCCCGTTAACATGCCCGCCTGCTCAAAGATCAGTAATCCTGTTTGCTGATAACATGAATTAACTGCATTAAAGCTAGCTCCTAAACCGCGATCCATGGCTTGAATCGCGCGATCGGATGGCTAAGTACGGCTTTTACACAATATGAAAATGCGTGCTTACTGGAGCTTACCTCTAAAACGAGATCTGCATCAATAATACCATCTGCATCATGGTCCATGCTCAGAAGAAGCTGCTTCAGGCGAGAACGCCTCTCTTCTGGATCCTGAGAATCTTCAGCAGTCGCGGGGCTTGCTTTTAGTTTTGTTAAAGCATCTACAAGATCTTGAACACGCACTTGTTTTTCTCTGAAAACACCCTGTTCAATACAGTAACCAAATTAAAAAACAACTAAACTTTCATCAAATTAATCGATACTACAGGCCATCATTTCAGGGCTGATAAGGTGCTATGCACCGAAATCGAGCGTGAAAAGTATTTTTGAGAATTAAAGGCTTCAACACACGAAAGGTGCCGGTCATTTCGCACATTTCCTCCTTCCCATCGACGCGTCGAGCCATCAAGCGAAAACCTGAGAAATCTCAAACGCCCACGACCGATTACCAGCCAAAGTTTGACGGCAGATACCACTCGTGAACTTTTGTAAAGAAATGAAATACCACATCAATACGGACCTTAGCCTGCATAGCACCGAAATTCACTTGGGCTGCAAAACTGCAGACATTTATGACTACTTTCGGTTCTACATTTACTATTGTCGACATCTACGACCTAGAACTGTCGTCATTTGCGGGCGCGACGTGAGCAGGGAGAGTGCAAAACGCCTCCCCCCCCCCCCCCCCGTCCTCCCCTCCATCGCCAAGCTCGGGCCCTTTTTGAGACTTCTGTGTTTATTCGCTTTCGTTCGATAAACTCGTTGGCATTCCACATATGTGTTACACACATTCAAAGTGATAGATCACTATATTGATAGAAGTCATGCTGTCCCAAGTAAAGAAGGTCTGGTGACGTTGGGGCAAGAGCTGAATCATAAGCATACTCTTTTAGCTGAACTGTCAGGCAGAGCAGGATCTACTATTGTTTCTTCTATAATTCTCTTCTCCTCCTCCATCTTTGATACGAGCGTATCGACATTATCGATCATCGTATTCAGTTTATTTCGTAGACGTTGTGCAACTTTCGTTTCCGAGAAAGCACTATCTAGTGAAGTTATTTCGACAAGGTCCTAAATAAAGACCTATTGTATAGTGAATAAGCAAGTTTTGAGATGGAAAAATTGACGGGCAGCTTACCTCAGAGTGTTCAATGGCCTTCTCTTTTAGTCCGAGTATGTCATGCTTGGCTTCATGAAGAGGTCCACCAACCAGAATCTCTTCAATAGAAGAAAGATCCTTCGGATCAACCTAAATGCAAACAATTACCCCGACTTCGCTCATTCTTAATTAATATGATAGTTTAGAAATTTTAAGTACCGTGGCTTCTGGAGCAGGTTTGCCATCTTTTTCTGCTGGGGTGGCAAGGTCAACAGCCTCTTGGAGAGCACCAGCCAAGTCTTTCTGAAATGGAGAGAGATAAGTGGTGAGTACCACGTACTTATGGGGGCCAATACAAAAGAAATGAGGTTCCAAACGACGTTTGAACTTTATGTGCGCGTGGAGAAAGAAGCGGCCTGAAGAACGGAATGAGTCACCCTTCTTTGTCTATTTGACAGCGATCCAACATTGAAATTGCGAACACGAAACATTCAAAGGGCAACTGCGTCCCGGGAGCAGATTCACAAAAATTACCCGGGCTAGGAGTGTAATCATTCACAGCCCCCCCCCCTTTTTTAAGGTCAACGATTATAGCAAAATAGACAATTACACATGGTCAGAAGGAGAGCGTAACTGGTCTGGGCTGTCCATACCTTGGGCCATGAACAGGGAGGAGCAGCACGAACTCAAACACTGCATGAGAAGGATAAAGATTATCGCGGATCAATTAGCTCAGTCTTCCACATCAAGTCCTTTTGCGGATCCTTTGACACTCCAAATCGATATGTACCTTCCTATTCGCAGAAACTCTGATCCCTAATGGGCGAAAAGCATGAACGCGAACTACCGTACGCGTAATGGAATCAATGTGTATTGATTGGTGATATAAGCGCTACGAATGCACGCAGTCAATTGATCGAAGGTAATTGCATAAGAAAATAACCAGAAGCTAAATTCAGTATTACCGCCACTGTACCGTAACCCAAGGCGTCGCCCAGTTGATTGTAACTCCCAGTGCATGTACGTATAAGCGTGCTCCCAAAAGTTCATGGGACACTTTCAGACTTTTCTCGATAAGTTTATTTCCAGTGGCGAAGCATTTTGATCATATATGTATTCACCTTCATTGCAACTTGTTGCCCAATCCACCTACGCAAGTGTGTGGTTGCCCTGCTTCCAGAAGCCTCTTAGTTCTGTGGCCAGAAAGGCAGCTGGGTCATTTTCGAGGTACTATCAAAAATCGTATTTTTTTACCAAGAAGATGGCCGCTGTGGGATTAGTTTGGATGGTTGTCGCGAAGAAGAAACTCAGTCTGAGGGCTACACGAAGACTGGTGTGGAATTCGCCCAGCTAAGCTTCGGGATCTCGCAGCATTGTGTTTCTCAATGTTTCGACCCCGAAGCTGTGGTGAGTAGGCAAACATTGCTCGGTTTTGGGACCAAATGGTAGAGATTTTCCACCCCACTTTGCAGTTGATTACAATAGGGCTCCCTGGTTACCATAGCGTTGGAAGGAGGGAATTCCGTTTCGAGAGCGGAGAAAGGTACCCCACCACATACACAGCCTCACCGCCCTACTGGATTGATAGGATTGCATCGTGGTTCTCCTTTCTGGGGGATCTAGCCGGTGGCGCTCCCAGGAGTGATTCAACTAGAGGCACCCACTCCATATCCAGTTACAGTGCTGTTCAACCAGCCTGTACAGCGGAAGAGGGAGAGAAGTTGTAGACAGTACCCACATGTGCTCCCCTTGGAGTACTGGTCAACTCATGAGAAAAATTTTGATCGAACTTCATAACTTTTCTAAGGGAGCGAGGCCTTCTCTCATTTGTGCTTTGGGACCAGTCAAGTGTAAGGAATAGATAGCAAGTTGATTTGTACGTATTGGTTTTAATCAAGGAACACAGTAGGTCCAAATCCAAGGCAGGTGGCCTCCTTGGACGAAGTTTTTCACCCGGATAGAAGTCACTAAAGCAGAAGCAATTGAGCCATTCCAAAGCCGTACTGTGGAAGCTAACATCAAGATCTAAATAAGGGAAATGCCGCTTATGGCTCCAACCACGTTGTGGCTTGGTAGAGATTCATATAGCGAAGTGTGTCGAAAATGATGAATTTCAATTACCGTTTTTCATATGAGAACAGCGACTGCGAGGGACGGTGAAGAAGCTGTGGAATGCTTACCTCACACACTTCCCATAGACCACATAACTGGATCTCGAAATGGCTGCGGAAAAATCTGATACGAGATTCAAAAAGTGTCCCAGAACTTTTGGGACAACCTAATATAACACCGAACTTTACGCCGGTACCACTGTGGGAATTGTGCGGAAATGCTTAATACACTGCAGTGTTCGACGATGGACGGAAATTTCATGCACATTTCACTTATGAATTTTTCGTCTCGACATAGAGGCTCTGATGTTTGGCATTGCGCAGCGTAAGGGAATTCATAACGCTCACAACGCTTCTTTCTATTTACGGAGAAATATACATGAATATAAAGAATCGAATTACTTTTAACTTACTCCAGACCAGAGAATTGTTTCACAAGTGCTTTCCCCAACCTATTCCATGAAATTTAACTGCACGCGTAGTGATTGCAGAAGCGAAAGACGCCACTATTACAACTAGACGTAAAAAGTAGCGATCTGATCACTGACGTGACATTTTTCGTGACGGTACCATTTGGCGTCAGTTTGGTGCAGCTACAGTTCGGACTCAGTTCTGGTGCAACTAGGAGAAAAAATTATTCCCAGTTCGAAAAGTCGTAGTTGTGAACGCGACCAACTACATGCAATACCACCTATTCTACCTTTCGAGGCGATGAGGCTAATAAGTCGACCGTAGTAAATTATTGTATACTACAGCGAACTTGGGAAGCCGTCTCTATCCAACACTGGTTAGCATCAAACGTGCAGCACCATCAAAGTGCTTGAAGCAAGGGTAATAGAAGGATAGATCCGGCATCCTCACATCGAAGTCCTCACAACGACATCCGAAACACACATCCGTTTTCTTCCACCCAGAAAAGTTTTCGGCGTAGTTTCAGCGTCCGTGCTGAAGTTTTTAGCGCGCCTACGACAGACTTCCAATTTAAAGGGCGCCGCTTGGGTTACGGTACCGTGGCGGTAATACTGAAGTTAGCTTCTTGTAAGAAAATAGGCGGACATAAGTCTAAGTCATTAAAATCAGCTATAGAAATACGTTCATGCCGCTGAAGGAAAAAAAGACTCGTATTTGCTCGTGAGAGAAACGTTTTCGACGCTGACCTTTTCTCGATTTGCTCCGTCTTGAGTGCGCGTGCGCTATCCCGCTCCGTTCGACAGAAAAAGTAGAGGGATTTCCAGAAGAAAACCCCGGAAAAGTGGTAGAAAGTTGAAAAATTCAAGAAGAGGGCAGGTAGGATGGAGATGAGATCGTATTCTGTGAAAAACTCCTTACGACCGGACGTGCCTAATCAATCGACGCTGAATCAGAACGTGTTTCAGTGTGGAGTACCAGAAGAGGTAGAGGAGTAAACAAACGAATACACTCCTAAATGCCACCGGAAAAAACTATAGAATCACAGGGCACAGACTAATATTGGTTGGGATTATCTTGAACCTTGGAGTCTGCAAAGGATCCCGCCTAGCTATTGGAACAACTCCCTGTTACCCCTATGATTTATTTCATCATTAATTTTTCATAATATAATCAAACAGTCGGATCGCCCGGCTTACGCCGAGCTCTCCTGCTGTTTAGCTTCCCGGCTTCGATACTTAGTCATGTCGCATAGAGATTGCAAACGCTAGTATTTTTGCTACGTTAGCTGTACATTTTCCTTGCCCCGTATTATTCATTTTCTTCAGTACTCAAACGTTTGAGTAAAAGGGTGATATCACATTCAAAACACTACCCCTGAATTGATACCGCAATATGAATTGGTTCGCAACTCTGCTAGCGGTGGGTTCTTTCTTCCTTCAACCAATCGCTTTCAATAAAGTAGCGGTGTGCTCATGTTGAACTCTACGCTTCCCAGTAGTACAACCACCAACCTCACCCCCTCCAGTCCTCAATCCCTTCCCTACCCTGATCCATCACGCGCTCACGTCCAGCTGCCTCGCGAGCATCTTGTGCAATGGCTCGGAATACACCAAATGGTTGTTTTATATAAAGCGGTATGCATTCACATTCTCAATGTTAGCTTGATTTATAGCACAACATGAACTGGTTCGCAACTCTGCTAGCAATTGGACCATTTTTTCTTCAACTTAGCGCCTTCACTAATAATGCTTTTGGGCCCACAGTAGTGATGTGCTATTGCTAAGGCATACTCTACGGTCGCCCTCCTCCCTCTCCCCCGTATCTCCCTATTAACTCCACCTCTCCGACCCACCCCTTCCTCACTCCCTCGCCGTACCTCTTCCCTACCCTGTCCCACTGCACGTGCTCGCGTCCAGCTGCCACGCGAGCAGCCCGTGCAATGGCTCGGATTCGAAATATCACCTAAATTGATAGCACATTATAGATTGCCCTGCAACTCTGCTAGCGGTTGATCCTTCCTTTCTTCTATTTGTCGCTTTCACTAATGCTTCTCTTTTCACCATTATGGTGTGCTGCTGTTGAAGCGCACTCCAGGTCCCCCTCCCCACTGGCTCTTTTCCCTCGCCCTATCTTCTTCCCCATGCCCCTTCGCCTCTGCCCTTCCCTACCGTGTTCCACGTTCAGCTGCCACGCGAGCAGCCTAGTAACCTCACTACCCTCGCCCCACCCCGTTGCCGTCCGCCTCGCGGGGCCGCGGCCGCGCAGCGCTCGCGGCCGTACCGTTCTTGCGCCAGGGGGGTGCCCCGCGAGGACCCGGTGGCGCGTCTGTCGGGCGCTGAGCGCCGGTGCCGCTGCGTGGCGCACGGCGCCGGTGCGTCTTGGACACGCGAGCAGCCCGTGCGAGATGGCTCGGGAGGGTGCCACAAGTGCCGTTGCGTTATATAGTGGGCTATTATCGCATCCGAGCGAAACAATGAATGATACATCTTGCACCAAAATGGATTACTAAGACTGAGCACGGTCGTTTTCTCCTCTTCAGTTTAAATGTCAAATCCGCTTGAAACATTTTGCGGACGGACAAAACATACATACTCACACACATTACATACATACATACCAACCAAAGCCGACATACAAGTATCCTTGTGCGATTGTGTGTATCCATTTAAGGAGCGTATATAAGACCCTTGAATCATTTTCAGAGCTCAACTTCGCTCCCTTTCGCGGATCCACAAGTAGATACAAATAACTGTTGCTCTCTTTATGCAAACCGCTCTGTATGATACTAAACGCATCTCTAATGTTCAGTGAGATTCCGCTGAGTTGGAAAGAGTCTATCATTACTGCTATTCCTAAGATTTCCGAGCCTAAGCTCGTTTCTTCTTTTCGTCCCATAAGTATCACTGCTACACCAGCTAAGGCCCTGGAGAAGATTTTGCGGGATAGAATTGTAGCACATCTAACGAAGCAGAATCTGATTCCACCAGAACAACATGGATTCATCAGCGGGGCTTCACAACACTCTAAATGGCGCGACTGTGTCTCTGATTGGAGCTCTTTGCTATAATGAGCGGCCAAGGTGTGGATATATCTATTTTGATCTTGCTCCAGAAGCCTTTTGATAAGGTTAACCACGAAAAGCTCGTTCATAAGTTGTGGCTTTTGGGAATCGAAGGACCCATACTCAGCTGGATTCGTTCTTATTTGGAAGACAGGCATATGATTGTTAAGGTGGGTGATAGTTTCTCGCGGACTTTTTCCTGTACTAGTGGAGTTCCGCAGGGAGGTGTGCTGTCACCGTTGCTTTTCTTAGCGTACACCTACGACCTACCCGGTTATCTTGATACTCACCCTCTGGTCAAGATCAAAATATATGCAGATGACATAAAAATATATGGCGTTTATGATAACGATAGTCATAACTCCGTGCACCGTGCGTTGACCCAGTCTATATGTAACATTATGGAGTGGGCTGCTGCGTGGGGAATACCTGTGAATTTCTCAAAAACATTTGTTCTTCATATGGGAGAAGCCAGGATTGTTCCGTACACCGTAAACGGACATGTCAATTACCCTTTCAAATGAAGTACGTGACCTTGTTTCATGTGAGTTCCAGTTTGGAGTTTACGCATCACATTGATATTATTGTTCGGAAGGCTTTCATGACCCTTTTTGCCATCTTCAGGAATGTCCGACAAAGTGATTCTTCGATTTTCTTGAAGTTATACAAAGCTTATGTTGTCCCCATACTTGAATATGGTTCGCAAATATGGAGTCCTCACACCAGGAAACTTCAGGCAAAAATCGAAAAGGTCCAGCAAACTTTTACCAGAGTTTTGATGTACCGGTGTTATCCCAACCCTGCATACCCAGGCAGCTTACCCAGTTACAGGGAACGCCTGCAACTTTTCAATCTTAAAGTCACTGAAGTATAGAAGAGTGCCTTAATGATATGTCCGCTCGTTCTGTTTTCAAGGTCGGTATTGAAAGGAGAGCTACAGGTTGAAACCCCAGTTACATATGGATACTGAGCCATCTGAGTTGCCGACTAATGGCTCGCATCTCTTCGCTGTCTTGCAATGTCCTAAATTACACAGAAGGCATCGAACCAGGGTTTTCAACTCATTATTTTTCCGAGGAGCGAGATGGCTCCAGTCCCTGCCATCAGACCTGCAGAGGGCGCCTAGCACCTATGCGTTTAGAAGTAAGCTAAAAAAGGTCGATCTGATGAATTTGTTAGGATTGCAGGATTTTTAGATGGTTCTAGTCTGGAGTGGTTCTTACTCATGTGAATTTGTGTTGCTATATTTGTATCTTTTTTTTCGTTTTGTTCATTTTTCCTCTGACATGACAATTGACTGTTGCATTTTGTAACCTATCTGTTTTCATTGACATGTAGCGCACCCATGCGTGCATTATAAATAAATAAATAAATAAATAAATAAATAAAACCATTGTTAATATAGTTTTATAAGTATAACGTTTATAGAGATAAGTTATCTAGTGGTTGGCCTGCAAAGAGGAGAAGAAAGTAAAGAGACCATTGATGTTTGTATTGGCTCGATAACCCATCGTTGGTATAGCATAAATAGCCTTGTTAAAGAATTCAAGAACCTGCAAAGTGGATCTGTAGAACGGGAGTATCTGTGAAAAAAGTGTAAATAGGAACTGGTCATTTAGCTCTGTACCGTGTATTGAGTAAGACCGGTGAATCAAAAAAGGCGCCAAGAGCACTAGATACGAATCGATACCGTTAACTAAACCTAAGAATGCGTTCACACTTCGCGTCAGCGTTTCGAGTGCACGGCAGCGTTTTGAGCGCATAGGACAGTGGAGGTGTCGATCCACCGTTTTGATCGTACGGTACCGTACGCCCAAAAAGCTGGCATGCTCAAAACCCCGGATCGATACCTACACGTTCCTAATCGCTCAAAAAACTGGCTTATGCTCGAAACGCTGACACTGAATATGAACGCTTTCCAAGTGGAGAACTACCGGAGTCCAACCGCATGTGGACTTCCTTGATGAATTCTGCGGTTTCTAAGCTCCGCAGTGAATAAGAGCACAGCCTGTGAGATACGAACGTGTGCAGCATTACTCAGAACTGTTCAGTTAACCTGGTACTTCACTAATTGGTTACAGCGTGGACTTCCGGGAATGATAACGAAATTGGCACAAACCTTCATAGCATCCAGCGCTTCGTCTGCAGCACTAGTAGCTTTGGCGAGCTTCTCAGAAGTTTCCTTTGAAGAAGCTATGACTGCCGCCGGAGCTACACCAACACTCGCTTTCTCTTTCTCGGCTTCTTCCATAAGAATTCTTTGTTTCTGAAAATCACATAGCTTCTGAGCTGATAACAAAAAATTTCTGTAACGGACAACACGACCTAGTTAGCTTGCCCCCCCCCTCTCCCTCAACTCATGGACTACAGAAGCAGCTAAACAAGCTTATTGAAATTTTGCTAGTTTTCGTCGTTTTAGATTTATAAAGAACGAAAAAAAGAAATACTGGCGCTGTCCGGCTTGGGAGGGGACATTTCCCAGTTTCGCTAGTTTTTTTTTCAAGTTCATTTCGGTGAAGCGTAAACTCGTGTGAGGTTGCGGTCGGTTACAAAGGTTTACAGGTCTTTACGAGGTAGCCTGTACAGTCCTCGCTGAGAAACATTGGTTGCCCCCACCAAGCCGAACTGTGTCGAAAAATCCTTATTAATTATGTTGGCCACCCAAAAGACACCAATTGGAAAACTGCCAAACCTCTTCTTCGCGCTTCTTTGCTTCTTCCATTGCTTTCTCCTTTGCTATGGCTTCTTCTATTTGCCTGATAAGATCCAGTCTTTCCTTGTAACCGACTTGTCCACCTTCCAACTCGGTCAACTTTTGCCGTGTACTTTCAGCAACATCTTAAAAGGCGACTAAGTCAAAAAGTAAGACTCAGAAAGCTATGAATTATCCGCAGAACATCAATAGGGCATGATTTATGTAAAATGACCCACTTTCGGGTAGGTTTTGAACGAGCGATTTCAGCCTGTCGGTGAAGGAGATATCCTCTGGTAGATACAATGTCCTGGATAACAGGAGCAGAGATGGTGGTACTTTGTCGCTAAGCGAGAGTTCCAGCCACTGTTTCAACTGTAAAATTCACGATGAATTAAGCCGCAAAACTAATAACTTACGAACACAGACTGACCAACGAAGGGAAGATGGCTGCTTAAAAAACTCTAGAAGGCTACTGGAGTTGGAGAAGGGGGGGGGATTTTTTTCAACTTTCACCCTTCCATCGAGAGAGTGATCCGCTTTCTAGTATAGAGCCAGCTCTACAATAATAGAGAGCATAAAAAAGGGTGTGCGACGTAATCTCATTGAGTACCCCCCTTACCTCACCAATTCGAACAGCCCAGTATCGCATTCCACTAAAGCACTTTTCATAGTCTGCGACGATGACGACGAATCGGATAAATGGCGAAAAATCAGTAACTGTGAGAAAAATGCGGACTGGGAGACTGCCGAACCGGGCTAATTGCTGGGTGATTGGGTACAACGAGTAAGGGCCTAAGATAGGTGACCGTTTCTCTGTGAACTCCCCACGTGAAGAAGGAGGGAGGGGAAGGAGACCGCGTCTGAGAAAAAACTTCCAAGGCTAAAAAAGGTTTGAGCGATTTTTTTCGCAGTCAACTATTCCAATCATGGCCGATAAGCCGTCAGGTAGGTGGAACTTCTACAAAGCTTCTTGGCAGCTGTACAGGAAGAGAAGGAAAACGAACTTGATCTCGAAGTCGTTCTTCACTCAGTCCAGCCGCCCTCATTCCTCTCGCTCTACAGGCTTGTTGTAAGTCAATTGTGCTCAACGCGT